GAGGAGCACCTGGTCGTGGTCGGTTTATGGTGAAATAATGTTCTTTTCACTTCTTAATTATGGCCCCAACAGTGCTCACTGGAACCTTCAGAAGTTTAGACATTCTTCTGTAACCRATGCCATCATTATGCTTTCCCACCAGCACTATTGTTTACTTCCATGTAAAGAGTGTCGCAATTACACTAAAAAAGCCTAAGTTAGACTACAACATTTGTGCTGTTTTACCAATCCAAAATATCGATTTCCAAGTGTTTTAGCAAATTTCTAACCAATCATTTTTGAACACTACAAATGTAATGTGATCTTGTGTCACAACCACAACAGTTATTACTCCATGTAATTTCCCATAAACAGTTTAGTTTGTGACATACTTCTTTCTCTGCCAGCTCAAAGTAGTACCCCTCAGTAACATCTTGAAAAATAGAGAATTTCACTCTCTCCTGCGGTAACGTGGTCTTTAAATCCACATTAGACTTTTGATTTATGATACCTCTGAACCCCCTGCAAAGACTTTGTAAAGATCTCCTTGAAAACAGCTGATCTGAATATCACTATGCCTGTTCTCTACCCTCACCCCACTCTCCTCTCTCCCACTCACAGGTGCCGCTGCCTTGTCAGGAGCATTGATCCACGGTTTTTCCCCTGCAGTCATTGTATTGGAGTTGACTGGCCAGATCTCCCACATCATGCCGGTGATCATAGCCGTGATCTTGGCCAATGCAGTGGCTCAGTCCTTGCAGCCCTCACTCTATGACTCCATGATCAAACTCAAGAAGCTACCCTACCTCCCAGAGCTGGGCTGGGGAAACCATGAGTATGTACAGTGGAGCGTGCTGCAGAAACACCAGCATTCCACCATCAGCACACACGTTGTACACAGTTTCTTTCTACGTAGAATAAAAATTTGCCCATTTAACAAAATGCTACAAATATTTTTCAAAGCGCACATTACAGGAAATCATACACTTAAAAGGAGAAAGTAAAAAATTACATTAAATGTCTTGCGCCACCTTTCATGCAAGAGTATCAGTAAGAGTAAGATCATTTTATTTTGAGAAATGACAGATCTGTATTTCAGTCAAACTTTGAAAATATAACATTATGTGTAATCACATTTTACTCTCAGGATGTGTTGTAGACTGTCAGCTACTACCACATAAAATTTTAGCTCAATACATGAATTTTTTCCTATTGTGTGTATTCCAAGCTTTTTAGCACGGAGCCCAACTGGTTGCTGCATGACCTACGTGTTACCCCATGTTTTTGTCATGTGTGTGTCTTCTTGAATGGGTGTTCTTAAATGTAATTTCATTGTGCAAACGATGACAATTAAGGCTTTCATCAGCAGCAGCAGCATCATCAACTGACTGAGCTGAAGACATTTATGTGTTGGTGATATCAATGAACTGTAGCAGCCATTTTGAACTGGATTGGATTGGTTAGGAGGAAGTGGCAAACTAATTTTCTTAGTCTTTAAAAACTGATAGGTAATATTTCCTACTACGCAAAAATGTCCAATAATTTAGCTGCATAGCAAAGAATATTAAATTTTATATTTAACAATAACAATATTTTGCTTAGCTCTACCCTTCAATTCTGCACTACTTGGTCTGTTCCTGCCCTGTTTGCACCCCCTCACCTTCCTTCTACTGCTACAATGCTTATGTGAGCCTAAAATACCTCTAAGGAGAGAAAAGACATTTTTAGAAGAGGAAAAAAGACAGACTTATTTCTGGTTCATACGGCAAAATACAGTAATTATGGCGATTTTTGGCACAATTTTGCCTTTTCAACAATCCTAAGGACACGCCAATTTTCACGATTGTTTTAAAGATATTCTTATGAGATATTCCTACTGTGTCATCTATTCTGTTCAAAAAGACCTCGGGATTGCTCCAACCTCAAATTTAGTTACATAATTTAACATTACACAAGATTGTCTTGGCCCAATATACCAGCATATGCGGTATTCCCCCGAGTACAAACAAGCACACAGGCTGTTGAATGTAACATGTAGCCAATACAGAGCCTGTCTGTTTGACTTGGGAATTGAAAAAAATTTAATGCATAGCCACAAGATAATAATTCAAAAATTCTGTTTATTTAGCTTTTTTGCTTAGTCACTTATTCAAAATCTTTATAATGTTTTTTCCAAGTCCTCATCTTTTAGCAACATACACTCTTTTCTTTTTGTGTCTCAGAAAGTATAACATTCGTGTGGAAGACATTATGGAACGAGAAATGTGGTACATCACTCTTAACTGCTGCTATCGAGATCTTCAAAATGTCCTGACATCAGGCCACCTCAAAACTCTGGCTCTTGTGGAATCTGCTGGTAAGATAATATACACGTATATAAATACATACACAATAAACATAATATAAACTAGAAGCACTCGAAGAGCGCAAACCTCAGCCAAGACAATGGGGTCAATTATGCTAAAAGGTTCCCCTTGGAAAAGTCACGTTTCCAGTGCTTTATAGTAAATATAGTAACATTATGTATTTAGACATAATAATAAAATGATGGAAATCAAACTTTCAATGTATTCAAAGATATTTATGTGAAAACATATGCAGACAAACGCGACCGAAAACGTGACCTCGCCCTTGGCGGAGGTAATAAAATTGAAACAATGTCATAACACAGATGTAAGCAGACATATTCTATGCACATACAGTGAAGGTAGAACAATAATATGACATCACACATGTGACTTAGAACAAAGGGGCACACCAATACCACAGTGCCACCTGCTAGACACTTTGAAACCCACTTGGGACACGAAAAAAAGAAATACAGTTGTTAAAAATAAAAAAACATTCCTGTGTCCGCATGGTGATCCGGAGCATCACCAAAATTTAATGGTTTGTTACTTGAGGCAGTACACACGTGGTAAAAATGTCATGACAATGCGTCGACAAGTTTTTGAGTAATGTCCACAGAAAGAACGACAGATGGACAAGCAGACATACGCGACCGAAAACATTACCTCGCTCTTGGCGGAGGTGATAAATGCCTGTCATGATCACATTGTTTCATTTGTTTTTGCTTGTTAAAATGTAAGTGTATTTCATTTCAGTATTGAATACAAATCCAATCAGTTAGTTTGACCAATACCATGTAATGAGCCAATTAGGTTTAAAACATTTGGGCCCTGTGGCTTCCCGACACACATCTGACCTAAAGAGCACAAGCAGCCAACAAGTGTTGGTCGTGTTCTGGATGTTCAAAACATAGCTTAAATACCTTTGATTTATTTTAACTGCATCCTCTTTTGTTTATCTGATTTAAACTTATTTGCCTTCCATGGACCTCCATCACACATTTTTCTAGTGGGGAAATGACATCAATAAAAACACGTGGAGCTGGATTTTAATTTGTGTAATGAGACAACACAGTCTTGTTGTTTTCAAGTTTTCACGATAAAGAAATTAGTTAAACTGACGTTACAATACAAAGAGTTGGTTGTTGTCTTGATATTTGTAAAAATTTTATACACTGAGAAATATGTTAAATAAAATAAATAAAAAATGTTTATTATATGTTTATTACAGTTTTTCCAGAGAGTGACTTGAATTTTGTGTTCATGAAAAAACTATTAAAGAAAATATTACAATATTAAAGAACTGTTCTTGTTAATTTGATGAAAACATTTTAAATATCCAGTGCACTCACATCAGAATAACTTATAGATTTGTTGTTAGAATAATCGATTAATCAAAAAATTATCATTAGATTAATCGATTAGAAAATAATTGTTTGATACAGCACTAAGTGGGATACAAGTAAAAAAAAAGAGGGAAACCTGAGAATTTTTTGCACAGTTATTTATATTAAAATGAACTGGAATTCTTTTTTTTTTTTTCATTTTTAAAGAAATGCTACTTCTTATTCATTTTGCATTAGTATCAAACCCTGGATAGATGAGTATCTATATCGGCATATTCACACTAAATGGTTAAATAAATAGTTGTCACTCAAAAGAATAAATTGCAGACTCAACACTTTTTGACAGGTCTGTGTATTGCAAATAAACAAGTAACTGTTAGTTTTCTGGCCCACAACTCCATTSTTGTCAACCTTGCTTCCAGTGGCAGTATGCAGTGCTGCCATCAAACCTTTGCACTGCTTGTATGGGGCTGAATGGCTTGTAACAATGTGGCCCACTTACATGTGTTTACATGTAAGTCTGGATGAGCAAACTCCCATGACCGCTCAACAACCCTAGTGAGGGTAAAAAGGTGTTCCACAGCCAGGATGGAACCCACGTTGTTCCTCCTGAATCTGAGATTCGACCATCAATTGAACTCTCTTCTCCAGCACCCCTGGATAGACCTTATTTGGACTAAGAACCCCGTGAAAAATGATTTCCTATAATTGGAACACAATCCTTTTTGAAGAGAATCTGCCAATCCAGTTGCACTGGCCCCCAATGTCCACACAATGTTGCAGAGACATGTCAACCAGGACAGCCCCACAACACCCAGAGCATTATGGAATTCTGGGTGGAGTCCTTCCATTGTGGAGCTTTTTAACTACCTTGATGACCTCAGCTCCAATTATGGACAGACCAGCCCCAAAGTCCTCAGACTCAGCTTTCTCCATGGAAAATGTGCTGGTGGAATTGAGAGGACCTGAGAAGTATTTCGTCCACCTTTCTACAACATCACTAGTTGAGGTCAACAGCACCTCTCAGCTGCCTCACAGTGTTAGTGAAGTGCTTGCTTTCCCTGGCCTCAGACGCTGGATGGTTTGTCAGGATCTCTTTGTAGCCAATTGAGTGTCTTTATCCAAGGCCTGCCTGAACACATCCGAGATTTGCCTCAGGAATAGGCAGGGCTGCAAGCCTGCTTGGTCTGCTAATTAGCCTGGTTAAAACCAGACCCCTGTTCTTCGCTTTGCTCCGTACGAGGGTCTGGACTCTCCGCTACTGAGAAGTGATTCTTGCTGGAGGCAGGGCCTCTGTTGAAGTTTAAAATGATTGGCCCAGTTGGCCGCAATGTACGTGTGCGCCAGCTCCACTGTGAACGAGGCTAAGCTAAAAAGCTAACCGGAAATTGTGTGCGTTGTAAACAATCCTACTGATCCGAGAGAAGTACAGAGCCGAACAAGACTACTGTAAATGAGAGCTGCAGGCTTTGTCAGACAAATTTTATTTAATTTGGAAGCCTTATCAATACGGACTGGCTTCATTCACTTCCTCCACTGTCACTGCTAAACTAGCAGACACTGTGCAGAAAATCGACGTTTTATAAAACTCCTCCTTCTGTTTTTCTGATTTGCCCAGGTGAAATAAACTACGAGCAGACATCATGCAGAAAATCAATGTTGTCGTTCAAAACAGCTTCTGTTTGCTAACTGGCCAGGTAAAATTCTACTGAAGAAATCCTTATCTATGGGAGAAATCCCAGACGGAGCAGTGAAGGAAATTAGAACTGAGCAGAACTGCGTAGGAAGGCAAGGGCCAGGCTACTTTGTAATCAACTGTTGCTGTTTTTCTTTCTTGAAATGCAATTGGTCACACATCAAAAATAGTTTGTATCAGTTTAAACATCTTCTGGGTTCATGGCAGATAAACTACATTTGTGCATTTAAGAACTCACCACTCACTTTATTGCATGCTGAAGTCTTTACAGGTGGTGTAGAATTTGTACCACAGTGGTTCTACGTGTCAGTTCATCAGGTGGTTTCTGAGAGTGACAAGGTTCTGTAAATTCACTCTGAAAACAATACAGCAATGTATTTATTAGAGAATTTTATTTGTACCTGTGTACTTTTAAATGCATGTACTTTTGAATACTTAAGTATGAATACAAAAGTAAGTACTTCAGTGCTTTAACTTGAATAGATTTTTGACGGAGTAACTTTTACTTGTATTTGAGTAGATTTGACACTGAGTATCAATACTTTTACTCAAGTACTAGAGTTGAGTACTTTGTCCACCAGTGAGAATAAAGAGATTTGCTTGGACTAAAAATTGCACAAATATTCTTGGTAACATTTTGCTAGTGTTAAATTAACTCTTACACTACTTCATAACTTGTTGCAGAAATGGGATTAAAGGTTTAAACACAGTTCCTTATCCCTTTGGTTGATGGAAAGCACATGTATTATCTACAAAGTTGAATAAATGTAAACTGGCTTACCAGATAACTCAAAGAGAAGAGCTAATACTTCATTTGTGGTTAGCAGAGCCCTCTTTCCCATGCGGTTTGCCGTCTTTGTATATAGTGGCAAAAATGCCTAAGTCAAAAAGATGACTAAGGCAGAAAGTGATTTTAGACTATAACAAGCATTCTGATAGGCTGAGGACATAGGCAAATAAGCAGGATGATGCAGCAGTGGCAGGAGAGTAGAGTTAGGCAGATATCACAATTTGGCCAAAAAATGTCTTAGGCAATTATGCTATGTGGCTAACAATATGGTGAACTGAACCAATGTTTGCGGATCTATTTATATTCCACTAAAATATTTATGACGTGCTTTAGAAGATGCAGAACTAAAGAAAATAATTAGCGGTTTAAAATTTGCGGACCTAACTTTTGAATTAGCGCTGCCCACCACTGGGCTTCACTTTGCTAATACTCACTTTCTTTCCCTAAAAAAAGTTTTGTATAGTTTTTTTACCATTCTCCCTATTTTGCTCAGTATTCACCCATTTTCTTTTCTCCCAGTATTTATACTCTCTTTAAATTCTGTGCTTATCTATTTCTTCTATTTTATGTAATGTGACCTTGGGTTTGTGAAAGGCGCTATACAAAATAAACTNCACACACACACACACACACACACACACACACACACACACACACTGTTCCTAGTAAAAAAATATTTGCTGCATTCTGGGCTCTTGTGGCCCTTTTCCACTAGTACCAGTCCAGGCTGGCTCGGATTGGTACGGTTCCAAACTATTTCCATTAGGCCAGATTCATGGAACCAGCCCTTTTTTTAGTACCTACTTCATTGTGGTTCCAAGCGGCCCCAGTCGACACCAAAATGCGACGTCACAACACTGTTTGTCACTGATTGGTTAGGGGATGCAGTGACTGGTTGCCTCTGAGCTGCCTTTACAACAACTCGAGGCGCCATTTTTTTTTTTCAATTGTAGCAGCGATATTCACAATGGCAGAACAAAGATCCAGACCATGGTCTAATGCTGAGGTGCAGGAGTTTTGTGCTTAGTGGCAGAGGAGAAAATTTAAAGCGAGCTAGATGGGTCGACTCGCAACGAAAAAGTGTTCAAGAAGTTGTTGTAGCTGATGGCCACTCGTGGAGATGAGAGAGCCCCGAAGCGATGTCGGGACAAACTGAAAAAGTTGAAGTGCGATTACCGCACGATTAAGGACCACAATGGAAGGAGCGGTTCAAACTGGTTCAAACCTACTGCTACTTTTAATGGTTGCCTACAAACAGCATTACCACCACCATCAGGCAAATACGTGTGATGATGATTTTCGGACAGTGGAAATGCCCAAAACACACCCACTGGAACCGGACTGGAACGTCAATGGAAAAGCACCCAAACCGACCCGTTCCGACACTACGCTAGGTGGCACTAGTGCATGCAGGACAGCTGAACTCTGCAGTGCTGCTACACATGCTTCACTTTGCTAATACTTTCTTTCCCTAAAAGAGTTTTCTTCTTTTTGTTTACCTTATTTTACTCCGTATTAAGAGATGCCCTCACATTTTTTTATTCTCTTGGTTTGTCCTCCTGTCCTCACCTCTCCTGTCTCAATGTCTCCTGTCTCAGAGTCGATGATCCTGTTGGGCTCCATCGAGCGTGCCCAGCTCCAGTCCCTGCTCTCCCAGCAGCTCAGTCGCAGCAGACGGCTGGAATACATCAAAGAGCGAGCTAATGCTGAGAAAAAATGCCTGTCCGTGGTGTCCTACAGTGATGGTGATGATGGACGGCAGCGGGCCAGTCAGGAGGTCCGCTTTCAGGTGAGACGATACTACTGAAGACTACCAATTCCCCAAATTAAGAATTTAAAAAGCTGAATTGCAGTTTGTAGAAGTAGATGTAAGTATGATCAAAAGATAAAACATTAGGGGCCTCATGTACAAAGACTTGCATGGATTTCTTACTGAAACCTGACGTACGGTCAAATCCAGAAAACAGCGTACGCACAAAAAAATCCAGATGTATCAAACCGTGCGTACGCCGGAATCATTTCTTTTGTACATCACAAGGGAACTGAGTGCAGGTAAGACACCTCCCCTGACACGCCTTCATTAACATATGTTAAACAGATGCTAATTACTTCCTGCATGTGTTAGGGACAGGTCTGAGTGATCCCTGCGTGATCAGAAATGATTTCTAATGTCATAAAAATAACGAATTCAATATAAAGTGAGTGTGAAAAAAGTCCTAAGTAAAAATAGGAATAAAATACGTTTCTCACACAAAGAACGAGGGATTGTGTGTCAGTGTGTGTGTGTGTGTGTGTGTGCGCTCATGCTGCTGTGTTGCGCAACCGGCTCATCCATCCATTCTGAGTCTGAAAATATTTGCGCACGAGTTTATTACTATAATTACTGTAAACACAGAAGAACTTATGTGTTTGGTAGAACATACATCTTGATTTATTTCATAGCTGATATGAAGAAATGAGTCTCTGCGTCTCAGTAGAAAGTTCACATGAAGTGACGTTGGAGAGTCCCCACATGCGCGCGCCGCAGCCTTTGTGCGTAGTCTGTCCAGATTTTGCTCTCCTACTTACAGCATTTTCACAAGTTGTAAAGTGTACTTCCACGTGTCATTTTGGAGAAATCTACAGCAACTTATGAAACACCTCCACTGCTGGCGAGGGTGCGCGCTCCAGAGCGCGACCATAACTCAGCCTTTAGAACTGGGCTGTTCAACTGGCGGCCCGCGGGCCACATCCGGCCCGCAAGTGACTAAAGTTCGGCCCACCAATTGGTTCATTCAAATCTTAACCCCTGGTTTTTTACTTTGATTACTCAAAGTTTTTTTAGATAAACATAGACATATTTGGTGTCTACAGAAACGTCAGAATCTTGGCTACAAGCTGGTAAAAAACATTTCAATGAACATCCAAGACAGTTAAAACTACAAGAAGTTGAAGATGAAATTTGAAAGTAAAAGTGAAATTAAACTGATTTAAAAATTGGGCAAGTCAGAGATGTCAAAATATTTTGTGGTAAATAAGAGGCATAATATGTTTCTTTTTTTGTTTTTAATCATCACTACGTATATTAATTAGGGTTCTGTATGTTTTCATGATTAAATACAGCAAAATAAACTATTTCAAAAGTAACAAATCTTTGTAGTACTTATCATTATTATTTTTGCATATCTTCCTAAATATATGAAAAAAACAAGCTTGAATACAATGACTTCAGTTTACTTTCTGTCTGATTGTGTTTTATTCACACACATGGGCTCCATAGCCGAACCTGTCTGAGTGCCTATTATTATATTTGGCTGTAGTCAGTTGCCTAGCCTTAATTAGCGTTACACTTTCAACTCCTACTGCTTTTTTCTGTGTGTGCGTGTTGTTTAGATTTTCTGCTTCGTCTTGTTGTTCATTTCTCATCACTCAGCTGAAACGTTTGTCTACTGAGCCAAATGCCTGAAGGAACTACAGTTTTTAAAGGCATGATCAGGTTGTTTGAATGCTGTATCTTATCCTCTGATTGTGTAAACAGGTCGCTACTGAGGAGTCCCCCCTCAGTCCAACTCATCACTCTGTCCAGAAGCCTCTTAAATCTGCACTGAAAAGACCCTCTGTGGTAGAGACACCTACTGAACTGCCCAACAGTAAGAAATCTCAGAATATATTTGTAATTTTTCACAATTTTTCCCTGATGCATCATCCAAGTACAAAATATTTTTCAAAAATTAATGAGCTCCTCTGGACGGGTTCTTTTTTAATGGACCATTTTGTCTCTCCTCCAAGAAATTTCTTCAGCCTGAGGAGTTGATCAGGCAGGCCATCAGGGTACTTACAATCTATGGTCCTAATTGTCCTCTTTTGCATGTGAACAACAGTTTTGATGGTCATCGTTAAACCTGTTTGTCCACCATGTGGAGGCGCTGCTTATTAGTTTACCTGAAACTCCTCAAGGCTGGTTTACGCTTCCAGTTGCATGTCTTGTTCCCCCTGCTGAGTGACAAAAAATTGCGTAACCAACACTCCCGTGCTATTCCCCAGTGACAGCCGTCGTGTACATTGCCCCCAGTCAGAACTCTGCAACGCGGACCTTGTGGCTCGGAGCGTGTGATTGGTGAGAACTTTGTGGGTGTGTTTGTTCATGAGGAGCAACGTATCAGCCCAGCTCTTGAGTGCTGCGGCAGACAAGGAGCGGGACCAGAGCACGACTCCAAGCAGCTCTTCCTTATTTTGTTTAAATGGTCTGAAACCATTTGTTAAAAGAGCTAGAAGAGCAGCTGGTTTGATCCTGTTGAACATGAGCATGCAGCTGATATTCATGTCTTTGTCCATCACCACGGTGAACCAAATAAATAAAAATTTTCCAAAAATTTCCCATAAATTCCCTTTTCAAAAATGAGTCAAACTTGTTTGTCATGACCTTTTGTCCAGTTATTCTGCATGACATTTTGCTGAAAATGATCTCTTTACAGAAGCTGCTTGTTAAAATTTTAAACATACACAGCTTTGAGGAGCAGACTAGCCTGGTTCCACACTTTGCTTCATACGAGGGTCTGGGACCTTGGCTATTGAAAAACAGTTTCTTGCTGGAATGGACTCTGCTGAAGTTTAAAAAGATTGGATCTGATTTGCCCAATCGCTAATGTTTGGCCATAACGTACGTAGTGTGCCAGCTCGACCGTGAAAGAAATTAAGTTTAGAAGCTAAGTGAAAATAGTGTGCACTGTAAACAACCATCCCTAAACGGGAAGAAAGAAGATGATTGGCCCGGTTGAAATTCTACTGGAGAAATCCATGTCTATGGGAGAAGTCCCAGACAGAGCAGTGAAGGGAACCTAGAACTGAGCAGAACTGTGTTGAAGGCAAGGTAGCAGACAGTCCTAATGAGTGTGCAAACATGTAACCAAAGTTCACACCATTCCATCTCTGTGCTTAATCAAAAAGAATAGGATTAGATTTGTTTATGCTTTTTAAGCTCCAAAAATAGGGATCACATATATATGCATAAATACGTTATCTATTATAGTCTAAAAGAGAAAAAACAAACAAATAAACAAAGTATGTTAAGTGCAAGTGGTGGTCTAAAACCATAGCACTAAAAGTTTCATTGAAATGTTGATTGTACTTTACACAAATTATACTTTGCCAACAGTTATATAAGTGACACTACAATAGGAAATGAGATGTAACTGTAGAAGCCTAAAATTATAGAAACAATGTAAATACAATAAAATGCTTGATTTGTGATAGTTAAATAAGTTCATGTAAATTAAAACATTTCAAGAAGCCAAAACAGTTTTCCGTAGTTTGCTTTCTGTTCAAATTGAGTCAGACTTTTGTGACTGTCTTTGTCTGCAGGTTCACATGATCGTTCGAACATTGCACTGAAGAACCTGTTCTGCTGCAGTCCAGACATAGAAGCCCTTGAGGTGAGAGCACCATGTCTTCAGACAAAGGCAACAATAGGATCAGCACCACACATACTGTACACACTCGAGAATGCACAGTGATTCACATTCTGTCGTTAACACGTTTTGAGCACCCACATGGTCTTATCTGACATACAGTTTTTCACACTCTACAGTACATCACTTCCCACTAATACAGGCACAAACAGAATATACTCGCACAGAATTTCAAGCAGGCTCAATATAAAATCACCTTTATTTTGTCTCAGACTAAAACACTTTAATTGTGCATCAGCTTGCTATGGGCCCATTTCATTGACTTTTTTTCTAGCAGTGTAGTAAAGTTTAGTTTAGTAAAGGTTTTACCATTATGTGCTTGTCTCTGGTCACTTTAAAAGAAAAACAACAATGTGGAGAGAGCCCAGTGTCTCCTGAGGTAACAAGCGAGTCTGGATATTTGTTGTGGTAAGAGCCACCGTTCTGGGCTACCAGCAAGCCTGGAATCCGCTCTGGAACAGGTCCATCAGAAAATCGACTGGTTGTCATGCAGCCGTTCAGGGCTAATCCCAAAAGCCGATGGACTGTAATCTGAGCCACGCTCAGCCAAAGCTGTGCCATTGTGCCAACATTGTTAGATCATCCAACCTTTAACCTGTCCACAGGCCTTTCACAGCCTTTGATTTCTGCCATTTGTAGGGGTCACCTCGAGTGAAGAAACAGGAATTACTGCCTCAAAGCAGGTCTCACACAGGCCTGAGAACTGGCAGGAACGCTGAACTCTTATTTTAGGCCATGACGGGTCATTTCAACCAACACGAGGACTTCCGTTCTCTCTAATCAGATATTAAACAGAAACGATCTATTCTGTTCATGATTCATTGGTTGTTTAACTAAGGATGTTTAAAGCAYTTGTTAATCATAATAATGACTGTCACAAAGAATATAGAATCACTTCTATTCTTTTATCGTGCCTGAAAGAGAGTAATGAATCACAGAAAATCATCACCATGTTTTTCATTGTGTTTTTATAAATCACTGTTTTTATTTTACTGAAAAATCAGTAATATAATTTTGAGTTTTCTTAAGAAAATCTTACATTTATCTGACACAAGTTCAGACTGATTATTTAAACAGAGTGTTAATTAATCATGATAAATGTTCACAGTGGTTTCTTTTACAGCCCAGAAAAAGAAGCAGAGCAAGTGGCCTTCACTGGCAGACAGCTGGCAACCCTCTTATCTCTTCCTTTCTTTTTCTGGCTAGAGTTATCTAAGGCGCCGACCCTGACTAACACGTACGCCTTAGACACAGGCAGAGTCTTCATCCTGACGCGAACGCAGCAGGACGGAGCTGTTTCTCTCCGGAGAACAGCTGGGCCACAGGTTTGACTCAAATGCCAATTAGAGTCGACCTGAAGTCCAGGACAGAGGCAAGCCGCCTTCATGTCCACCCTGGAGACACACGTCTCTTTAAAGTGTTTTTCAACTCCCTGGGGGGGGAGACTTTTATTTTGAAAGACGACCGAACCACAGCTGGAATCTCTCTGGCCGGGCTTAAGCGGACTAAAAGTCACCTGAAAGACACCTTTCCACCAAGGACCATTTCTGGACAAGCTTCCTGAAGGGTCGTCGGTGAGACAGCCAGACCAGGGGTTCTTAAGCGGACCACTCCAGGTAACGCTGACGTGTTCGGTGGGTGACGTGTCAACTTGAAGCTGAAAGCAGAGAGGACGTGCTGAATCCGGTTGAAAACCTTTCAAAATTAAAATAGAAACACTAACTCTTAATTTCCTTACCTTTCCTTCCCTTTACCCTTKCCAACCAAGTGAAGTGCCAGTAAATCGTTTAGTCTTAACATCAGAACTGACGTTTTACTGTTTATATATAGGTAATCTGAGTTTTAATGTGAAAGAAATTCGGACGCGGGTTTTTTATCTCATTTTAACCTAGATGCTTGTTATAAATAACCACAATTAGGTGTAATTTATGATTTTGTTCAATTTGTGTAAATAAATGATTGCATAATCTTTTATGAATCAACTTGAACAGTCTGAGTTCCCTCCTTGTGTCCCTTCCCTTTGCACAGACAAATATTAAAGTAATGAGAAGAAACCTTGGTAAAATTTTACTCTTATAACTTTGTTATGAGAAGATGTAAGGTAAGTTATTTGAATAAATAACTCATCCCTACATAATGGTGGCCTCGTACTATCTATACATTTCTCTCATGAAAATATATCTCTGTGCATCGAGGAGTAAATAAATAAATATTACCTTCTCATGTTTGGCAAAAGGAAATGTTGTATAAGACCTTTTCATGACTGAGGTGTTCAGAATATAACAAAAAGCTGCAGATTTTGTTGTTATTCTTGCCATTTTAAGTCGTAAAATAAGTCTTTAACATTTAAACTGATAAAATTAAGCATTTTACGGTTTATAGAGGTAATGACGTCACTTCCTGAAAAGGAAAATATAAGCTCAGCTCTTATAAATAGCGAAACGCTATTTCATCGATAAGATCTAAATCTGCGAACGCATTTTCATCTTATTTTCGTATTTTCGCCACAATTTATGAGTTTAAGAACTCGTAAATTAATAAACGAAATACGGGGGCGAGTTTGAGGGTGACACATGCTAACAAGTTAGCTCCAACCACTTCCGGGACGGAAAAAAACCAAACGGTTCTTCTCGAAAACCGGCGAAAAAGTCGTTTGCGGCGCCTTGAGCGACCGATTAAACTGCGAACTGTTGTTTAAACCGCAAAAGAGAACTCTTTGCGCGTTTAGAGGCATTTTTCGGGCAGTTTAACAGCCGATCCGCTAGGACGGACGGATGATTGAGGGTGAACACGGAACTTCCGGTCGGCCCCGTCAACTTAAAGCTAAGCTGTATCGCTAGCATAGCGAGAAGCTATTGCTTGTCGATTTTTGAAACGCTGTGTTGTAAACTACGGTTTAAATACGGTAATTTAGTGTCAAAAGTGTTTCATTTGTTCGATTTGATGACTTTTACACTGTAAAAACGGACCGCCGTTTTATTCTGAAGGAGCGCTTTGAAGGTGAGACTTCCTGTTAGACGCTCCATCATTGAACAGGGCACAAGCTGCCGCTGTCACTCAGAGGTGAGTAAGGCTGACGTGTCATCCTTTGCAACGGCGACATCTGCTGGTTGATTTAAGGTATTACACTCTTGCCACTTTCACCAAACACATTTCTTTTCTCATTTTTCCAGCCAAAAACGAATAAAACACAGTTAATTCAACTCTGTTTATTCAAAATAAAATAAAGC